TTTGTTATTTTGGCACTGTTCTTCTGTTCGGCACCTCGTTTTTTTTCCGGCTGCATGCTGCTCGGTTTCTTGTGCCGTCACTCCACTTCGGGTTGATTGGTTACTAACGGCTACCTTTCAGGGTTTTACCTCCGGTCACCCATTTAAAGTAAGAAGGTGGAGAACTGGAGACGGGTATCGCCTATTGGTGGTTATCCTTGCTATTGCTCGGGCATATCAGCTGGAGTTGCGACTTCGGCCATAGTTTTCTTAGCTAACAGTGTTACTAATAATCGTGGGTATCTTTACTTCTGTAACATTACACTGCAGAAAACTGAAAGTCTATAGGCTTTTTCAAAAGATTTTTTGTAAGCTCTGTTCTCATTGCTAGAAAAACCTTATGTTGCCGCCAACCTAAACTCTCACTGATCTCCTCCCTGCCTCTTTGTCTCTTTTAGAGTATCTTTCCATTACTAATGTCCCTGGCGCTTGTTTATTTCTTCGAATACCTCATCAATCAGGCTCTGGTAAGCACTTTCTATATGGGAAAAGTCACTAAGCTAGCCTCATTTTGCCGGTTTTCAGCATTATCTGTGCAAAAGCTTGAAACGTACTTACTGATATTTGATCAATAAGTACATATTTTTTCTTCCTCATCCACTTCTAGTTTGAATTGATCTTCTTCGACACTTCGAATCTCACTCATGCTCAACAGTATCGATGTTAAGTGAAATTTTTAAACTTTTTTCTTGCCTTATCGTAAAGGACCAAATTGTTTCGATTTGTACTTTCGCTTGTGTAGGTAGCCCAAGCAGTCGTCCCTGGTTCAAAGTGGCAGATTTCAACCGTTTCCACAGACAACGGCCCACTGGACAAGATCTAGTTGTCATCTATTTTGTTAGTAGGTGTTTTTGTTAGATTTGGATAATTTATTGGACAACATTGTAGGAAAACTAGGTGGCATCGGTCGGCTTCGAACTTACGACAGCAAGAGTAAGACTTGAATGTATTCAACTTTCTAACCATGTGAGCTACGGAGCTCCATCCTGGAACCTTAGTTAAATCACATTTAGGCCAAGTTACACACCAGACCCATTTAATCTTACAATATCCGTCAATTCTGGTACAGTACGCTGCTTGTATGACGTGGTTGCTGAGAATTCCCGTTCTCTCCAGGTCATCCGTTTCCGGAATACTGTCCTGCCATCTCAGCTTCAGTATTCGGCGGAGGCAGTTGAGATGGTAGTGGTTCAGCTTCTGAACTTGTTTGGCATAGAGGGTTCAGATCTCCGCTCCGTACAAGAGTGTCGTGAAAACGACGGCCTTGTACAACTTCAGTTTAGTGGGCATTTGGAGACCATACGGTTCCGAAATCCAACCCTCGACCTCCCCGCTCGTGGTTCGCGGGCAACGTGGAGAAACTCACGGCAAACAGAAGGCAATGGCAGGTAACACCGGGGACGTCATCT